TTGCTCCTGAGTTAAGAGGAAATGGCTTTAGTTTTTCACCATTAAGTATAACTCTGGCTGTAGGTTTGTCATATACAGCCTTTATTGTATTGAGGAATGTCCCATGGATTCCTAATTTTTCCAAAGCCTTCATCATAAAGGGGTGTTGGATCTTGTCAAATGCTTTTTCTGCATCTATTGAGATAACCATGTGGTTCTTATCCTTGCTCCTGTTGTTGTGATGTATTATATTAATTGATTTGCATATATTGAACCAGCTTTGCACCCCTGAAATGAATCATATTTGATCGTGGTGTATGATTTTTTGGATGAATTGTTGAAGTCGATTGGCCAAAATTTTGTTGAGAAGTTTTGCATCAATTTTCATCAAAGATATGGGTCTATAATTCTCTTTCTTGATGAGTCCCTGCCTGGTTTTGGGATGAGGGTTATGATAACAACAGATGCTGGAGGGGATGTGGACAGAAGGGAACCTTACTGCATTGTTGGTGGGAGTGTAAACGTGTTCAACCACTTTGGAAAGTAGTATGGAGGTTCCTCAAAAGACTCCACATAGAGCTCCCTATGACCCAGCAATCCCACTTTTGGGCATTTACCCAAATGGTTACAAACAAGACCACACTAAAGTTACCAGCACAACTATGTTTATTGCAGCATTATTTACTATAGCTAAGATATGGAACCAACCAAGATGAATGGTTCAAGAAAATGTGGTATGTATACACAATGGAATTCTATGTCTCCATCAGAATGAATGACATTGCCCCATTTGTTAGGAAATGGAAAGGCTTAGAAAAAATTATATTAAGTGAAGTAAGCCAAGCCCAAAGAAACAAAGGTCCCATGGTTTCCCTTATTTGCAATATCTAGTGTATGTATGAGTCAAGCAGAAAAGGTCAGATAATGTGATGTTAGGAAAATGAACCCTTTGATATGCATTTAAATGTTTTTTTTCTTTCATGCATTTGTTTCTAATGCATTTATAAGATTATTTTTTTGTTGCTTTGTATGTCCCTCCCCCACAGTATAACCCCTGCTTTCACTGTATTTGATGTCAGTAAAATTTGTGGAGGAGAAGGGGAAAAACAAGTCATTTAAGGATACAGGTGGACCCGTTGCAACAATGAGAAGTACAAGTTGTCACATCGAAAAAGAACTTTACAACTTTGGGGGGGGGAGGATTTGGTGGGGGGGGCGGGGGAAGGCTGGGAAGGGATGTGAAGGGTAAACAAAGGAGGAGGCTGCAATGCTTGATAAGAAATGTACTCATTATCTTGCCCATATAATTGTAACCCCTCTGTACAGTATGTTCACAATAAAAAAAAATGTGGTATATAACACAATAGAATTCTATGTCTCCATCAGAAAGAATGACATTGCCCCATTTGTTAGGAAATGGAAAGGCTTGGAAAAAAATTATATTAAGTGAAGTAAGCCAAGCCCAAAGAAACATAGGTCCCATGGTTTCCCTTATTTGCCATATCTAGTATATGTCTGAGTCAAGCAGAAAAGGTCAGATAATGTGATGTTAGGAAAATGAACCCTTTGATATGCATTTAAATGTTTTTTTTCTTTCATGCATTTGTTTCTAATGCATTTATAAGATTATTTTTTTGTTGCTTTGTATGTCCCTCCCCCACAGTATAACCCCTGCTTTCACTGTATTTGATGTCAGTAAAATTTGTGGAGGAGAAGGGGAAAAACAAGTCATTTAAGGATACAGGTGGACCCGTTGCAACAATGAGAAGTACAAGTTGTCACATCGAAAAAGAACTTTACAACTTTGGTGGGGGGAGGATTTGGTGGGGGGGGGGGGGGGAGGATGGGAAGGGATGTGAAGGGTAAACAAAGGAGGAGGCTGCAAATGCTTGATAAGAAACGTACTCATTATCTTGCCCATGTAATTGTAATCCATCTGTACAGTATTTTCACAATAAAAAAAATTTTAAAAAGAGAGAGGGAAAAATGTTAGACATTAAAAAAAAGAATGGAAAAAATACAGCCTCTTCAGTAAATGGTGCTGGCAAAATTGGTTAATTACCTGTAGAAAAACTAAAGCCTAGATCTTTATATATCACCCTGCACCAGAATCAACTCCAAATGGATCAAAGACCTCTGAGTCAAAGCAGACACTCTGAAAACATTACAGGAAGGAATAGGAAAAACCCTAGGTCTCCTTGGCACAGGCTGAAATTTTCTTAATAGAGACCCAGAAACACAACAAATCAAAGAAAGGTTGGACAAATGGAATTGCATGAAACTGCAGAGCTTCTGCATGGCAAAGGACATAGCTAGCAAGATCAATAGAAAGCCCACAGATTGGGAGAAGATCTTCACTAGCCATACAAGGGACAAGGGTCTCATATCTAAAATATACCTGGAACTCAAAAAATTAAATCCCCCAACAACAAATCCTCAAAGAAACAACTGCCCAGTAAATAAGTGGGCTAACAACTTAAAGAGCTACTTCTCTGAAGAAGAAATAATAATGGCCAGTATACACATGAAGAAATGTTCAACCTCTCTAGCCATAAAAGAAATGCAAATCAAAACAACATTGAAATTCCACCTCACCTCAGAATGGCCATAATCAAGAAATCTAATAACAACAGATGCTGGAGGAGATGTGGCCCAAAAGGAAAGTTACTACACTGTTGGTAGTAGTGTAAACTTGTTCATGCACTTTGGAAAGCAGTAGGAAAGTTCCTCAAAAGACTCCACGTAGAGGTCTGCTATGACCCAGAAATCCCACTTTTGGGCATTTACCCAAACAATCACAAACAAGGTCATGCTAAGGCTACCAGCACAACTATGTTTATCACAGCATTATTTACCATAGCTAAAATATGGAACCAACCCAGATGCCCCTCAGTAAATGAATAGATCAAGAAAATGTAATACACACACACACACACACACACACACACACACACACACACATACACACTGTGGAATTCTATGCCTCCATCAGAAAGAATGATATCACCCCATTTGTTAGGAAATGGAAAGACTTGGAAAAACTTTTATTAAATGAAGTCAGCCAGGCCCAAAGAAACGTAGGTCCCATGGTTTCCCTTATTTGCAATAACTAATACATGTCTAGGACAAGCAGAAAAGGTCAAAAGCTATATACATATGACCATATAACCTGATGTTAAGCGAAAGAAATGAACTCCAAGATAGGGACACAGTATTTTTTTTTCTTGCTTGCTATTGTTTCTAACATCTTTATAATATACTATGTGATTTTTTTTATTTCTTTGTATGTTTCTTTGTATGTTTCTCTCCCATGGTATAACCCCTGTTTTCACTGTATTTGATTCCAGTGCCTTGCATCTTGTATTTACACTTCTCTGATTTGGGGAGGGGAAGGGAAAAAATTGCTTAAAAAGTGATTCAGGTTGACCCATTGTAACAATGAGATGTACAAGACACTATATTGAAAACGAACTTTACAACTTTGGCTGGGTGGGAGGGGGGAAGGGGGATAGTTGTGGAGGTAGGAGGGAAGGGATGGTAGGGGAAAAACAAAGGAGGAAGAACAATGCTCAGTAGGAAATGTACTCATTACCTTGCTCATGTAACTGTAACAGTATTTTTGCAATTAAAAACATGCAAAAAATGTGGGGAAGGTATGGATACTTTCAGAGTCTATAGTTCCAGTGGATTTGAGAAAAGGAAATTTTGCAGCTGAAACAGAAGCCTGCTTATTTCACTATTAATGACCTAGATTCAAAAATAATCAGGTAGTCCAAAGCATTTTTTTACCGTTGAATATTTAAACTCCTTCTTGAATAAAATACCACTTATAACAACTCTGATTGCTGCTACAGGCATACCATGATCCTTTTAATTTTTCTTTCATAGCAATCAATTGATCTGCTGCTTAACTCATATTTATTTAGATTGCAGCCATACAGATGCCTTTTGGGTGCTGCCAGGAAAATTAATATGTATATAGAGAATATAATGTATGTAAAAATGCTTTGACAACCATAAAATGCTCTGTAAAGTATTAGATTACTACCATTATTTCCTTTTAAGTTGAACTACAAATAGATAAACTTTAACATCATTAATCTTAAAACCATTACCATGAATAGGCTGAGTTGCATAGCCTGACTTTTTTAGTATCTTCAGTTTCTATTCATGTCCATTTCAAATCATGTCTCATTCTATACCTTCACAAATGCCATCTCTAATTTCCAAGAAGATCAAGCCTAGATCTGTTACAAGAAAGAAAAAGTTAGGACCTGTAGGTAATATAATAGTAAAAAAATACTTAGAAGAAACTATAAAATTCTTAATCAGATCCTCAAAAACATATTCATATATGTATGAGTATATATGTTTCTGTGAACATAGATTTTAGTAGTGTAAAAAAACTTTAAAGAATAATGAACTTGACATCTCTTTTTAAACAAAAGTTTAATGTGGGCAAAATGCAAGAAATTTAGAATTGATTGTTGTTAAGTTTAGTGTAATGCATAGTTAAACTCACTAGTCTCTGTCATTCAGACGAGCTATGGATTAGAGAATTCTTGTCTTGGTTTCTAGAATTCAAGACACATTTCAGAAAAGAGGCTTTAATAGTTGGAAAGGAGGCAAAGATAGCAAACTAGGGCTAAAGGAAAGCATCTAGAATTATAGAAATCAAAAGCATGAACCATGCCTCCCTCTGTTCAACTGAGCTTTGTGCTTGTAGCAGGAATCTATGCACAAGCACATTGCATATGACACGCTATTGTGGTAAAGTGCTCCTACACACTCTTCATACAAAGCAATTCACACACTCCTCCACCAAATCAAATATGACTCAGTTGTCGTAAGTCCCTTGTGCAGATGAGGAAGTAGGCTGCAGAAGAAATATGACTTGTTCAAGATTGTACATGAAACTCAGACCCATGGTCTTGACTCTGATTTGTGTCTTTTTTTTTTCTTCTGTAGCTGTTTGTTGATGAATATACTAAGGGTCTAAACACACTTTCTTCATTTTTCAGGAAATTTGCACCTCGATGTTCTGTGTGCAAGGAGCCAATCATGCCAGCCCCAGGCCAGGAGGAGACTGTTCGCATTGTGGCTCTGGACCGTGATTTCCATGTGCACTGCTACCGCTGTGAGGTCTGTACTGGCTTCCTCATGTCTTGCTACTGCGTGGCAGGCATGGAATGGCTCATTAGAGCTGAGTACTAATACTTGTAGCAATCCTTCACTCTGGGGAAAACCTTGGTGCTAGCATCAATGGACTTGGGTTTTAGCTCATTGAATTCAAGTAAACTCAAGTGACATTGTATATGTCATTGATTTCAAGTGACATTGTATAAGTCACCTTACGTTTCCCACACAAATTTGTAATTATTTTAGCAAGCACTAAAATTCATAACTCCAAAATGTGGCTAGACATTAAAATACAAAGTCGTGAATCAATGGACATCTTTTAAAAATAATTTAGACATTTGAAAATATTGTTATTGAGAAATATGGTATCATTATTATTGTCATCATACTGAATGCTTATGACTCCAATCTTCTGCTTATCTATATCTATGATGTCAGGCATTCATTTATTTCAGAAAGGTCAGAGATTCTGGTTCAAAGTCATAGACATTGGTGTATTGATTACTAAGTACTGACTAAACATTTAGAAGGCAACGAACTAGCATGGTGCTAGTGGCTCAAGCCTAAAACCATAACTACTCAGGAGGCTGAGATCTGAAGATCACAGTTCAACACCACCCTAAGCAGACAAATCAGATATTCCAATTAACCAGCAAAATCCAGAACTGCAGTGTGACTCAAGTGGTAAAGCAACAACAGTTATCAAAAAAGCCCAGAGAGAGCACATGGCTCTCATTTCTAGTCCCAGTAGCGGAAAACCCACAAATACACATAAAACACACACTCACACATGAGGTCAGATGCCTGTTAAGCATAATAGAGGAGTCATGCAGAAGGATCCTGGGAATACAGACCTGTAATTCAGACTAGAAAAGACAAGAGACGTTCTTCTGAAACAGAGGAGGTCAGCTAAAATCTATGGAACATTAGGCTGTTAATGTAGGATAGGCCTTTCCTCCTGGAATTTTAATGATTTTAAAATAGTTTCTTAGTTCTACAGATTTACTTTGAAACAGTTTCCTTATTTTTTACTAGCTCTTCTGAGAAGCACTTTGAACCCCCTTTTCTGTGTGGAATAATCTCCTTATACTCACGCCTCATCTAGCTAGGAGATCATCCCAGGACACTGGCTTATGGGGCTATGGCCTCTCTGGAACTATATTTATTCCAGTTGCTGCTTTAGCTGTAACTGACCATCTGTTTTATGTCTTGTGCTTTGGTTTGCCCTACAGCCCAAGTTGCATGCCTTGTTCCAGCATTAACATAAGAAAAGATAATACAAAACCAACAGCTTTTCTACAAGGTTTTATGACTTAAAAGAAAAACAGTGCCCATCCATTATGTTTAAAATAGACCAAATGATGAGTGCCTAAGATCTAATAGATACTTTATAGATGGAGAAACTGGGGCTCCAAGAACAAGGTTTCCCAGAATTTCTCACATACTTGATCTATGTACAAATGGGCTTTGACTTTTTAAGTGGCTTGCCTGAAATGCGCCTTTCTCCTATTGAGTTAAATGATAGCTATATAAATTAGATTTGCTTTAAAATGCTGAGAAATTCTTCAGAAGAAAGCTATAAAAATGGAAAGAATGTTGAATTAGAAGAGAGAAAAACATTACAGACAGAAAAGAACAAAGCATCATTCTAGTCCTTGTATAAATTCATATGTAGACGAATTCCTTCTCTGTCTCTTGCCGTCTCTTTCTGTGTGACAGTGACAGAAGGCTGCAGTGGCTACTCTGTAAAGGCTCCCTTTGGCTCTGAGATTCTAGGTATTGATAACTCCAGTGCCGTGACCAACTGTGGGCTCCTCAAGGTGCCCAGATGATGCTCCACGGAGTGCTTGAAACTACACCTCTTATGAAATAGCCTTCTTGTATTGCAACAGAAAGATTTTGCTTAGTTCTATTGCCCAATTTCCTAAAGGCCTCTAGAACTACAATAGATCCAGTGACCCTTCTTGGGGAAGCCAAAGTTCCTGCGGAGCATGACTGTTACTGCCACTGCATTCTGAACCACGCCTAGTTTGAAGCTAAATTTTCATGTGACATGAGTTCCATTAACCTCTCCTTGCCATTGCTGGGTAACAGACATGCGATTTGTAGCAGTTGTAACCTATAGCATTTGGATTTACTTTCCAAGGACACCCGTTTTCTCCAAAGAAAATGACCAGCATTTAACTACTAACACTTTCCAACATGGATCATCAGAGGTACTGTTGACAGAAGGACAATCTTTTGCACTTACGTGATTCTCTGGTTTTTTTTTTTCTTCAAATGATGACTACATCCATTTTCTGCTCTGGCTCTCCAAAGAGCTTGGTAAGATAGAAAATGCAGGGTTTGAGAGTTACAGTCAGACTTGTGTGCAGTGGCAAACACTAAGGACAAGTACCCCTTGAGCCTCTCATAGTTGGTATGCATTCCTCTACATTGTACTATCTTCTTTGTGAAGTGAACTATTGTTCTCCACAACCTATAAGATTTCATACTATTTTACTACAGTTGAAATAGGTATGCAGAAACCAGTGGTGGTCCTTCTTGGCAGGAATTACTCTCTTTGTTTTGGCCCAGAAAGGGCTCAAGATTTCCATTCCTGAACCTGTGCATTCCTTTACAGAGATCTTTAAGCTGCCAATTCAGGTTAAAGATGGATTAGATCACTTTTTTCCCCTCTCTGGTTATTGCTATTTTCATTTGAGGCAACAAGGTTGCCTTTGGAACTGAAATCCACTGGGCTCTTGGTGTTTCTTCATTTCAAGTGCATTTAAAAGAGTCCTTTTACTCCTTTTGAATTTATGTCTATAATGTCTAATTGAGTTTGATTCAGAATACATCATGCTTTTTACTTGGAACAGGGAAGATGGCAAGTCTTGATGTTACTTGAAGCAGGATAGATAGCAAGCCGCCCCTCTGTGAAGGCCTTGACTATAAAGCTGACGCATTGGATTTCATGTACGCACATTTGAATTGACATTGTTTCTATCTTTAATTTTCTAGGATTGTGGTGGTCTTCTGTCTGAAGGAGACAATCAAGGTTGCTACCCCTTGGATGGACACATCCTCTGCAAGACCTGCAACTCTACTCGTATCAGGGTGCTAACAGCCAAGGCGAGCACTGACCTGTAGATCCAGCAGCTTGCTTTCACTGCTAACTGCACAGCAGCACCGAGAAGAATGAAACACACACAAAGGGAAGGAATAGGAAAAGTAGAGGCAAGGCAATCAAGCTTTGTTCTTCATCTGATGTTAACCTTTCTTTAGAAACACATAGATTATGAGTTGGTTTTTTGTCCTTTTAAGTTCTTATCAAATACACACTTCACAAGTGATCATGTAAGGCCTCCATAGGCCTTTGTTCTAAAGACTTTCACATTTTTGCACGGATTATACTGTCTCATTCACTTCTGCATTCCTCTAACTTTAATCCCCATGTTTTTCTCGCTTTTCTTCTGGTTGAATAGTTTTTTTTTTTTAATGTGGTATTTGCTGTCACATGATTTTTTTTTTCCTCCCTGGGTGAATGTTCCAACTCACAGGTGCTCATAGCTTGCAGTCTGATCCCAATATTCCTGACTGCTTGTGGCTTTAGGGTTGGTTAGCCATTCTGTTGCTCTGTATTGAAAAGTATATTTTCCTGTTGCTCTCTACCACGCATGTGCCATAAAGGAAAAAAACAATGTACATTCTTCCATGTTCGGCTACAAAAATTTGTTATAAAGTACAATACATTCAAATAAGCTCCAATTTGAATTACATCAATCCAAATTCAAAAATCTATGCTGATCCATGGCTAAATCTCATCAGAAAATAGTATGGGTCCATAATTAATAGTTGGTGATTGAGAACCAAGCTTTAGTTGTTTTCTAAAAATGATTACTGGGTGGGATATGCTACACAAAGCATTTTAAGGCTGCGTGGGGAAAAATGCATTATTATCCTTTGTTCTGTCTTTAGATTTACCTTTCCAAATGACTTGGACATATGTAGACAGATTTGCTTTTGTAACATTTTCAGTACTGTCCCACTTTCCAGCTTAGAACTATCTATAACATAAAATCGTATTTTATATGTGTTTTCTTTCCTAGTAGTCAAAACACAATTAAGAATATTGACTTTCTCTAGAGGAATTTACCTATTAAAAATAGCTAAAATTCCTTCTTTTTGCTCTTTTCTCTTTTTCAACTCCCCAGACACAAGTCTTTTTTGCCTTACTTTTGCAAATCAAGGCACACAAAATGAAGTTGTGTAGCTTTGTTGCATTTACTTTAAAAAGAAAGAAATGGTTTCAAGATTGTGAAACCACAGTTTTATTATTCTCCTAATCCTTCTTGCAACTTGAATTACATATTGCAGGAGACATTTTCATATCATTAGTGTGACATTTATACCACACTTTCAAAGACAATCACTGTAAAAAAAAATCCTTTCTGTGCTAAAAATATGCAGAATCTCTGCCTAGAATCTGTATTCAAACTCTTATTAGCCAGTGAAACACTTGCTTGCCAATTGCAGATCCAAATTAAGTTCTAGCATGTTTCACTTGAGAGATACCTAGCTTAGCAATGGCAAGTTGCCATTTTTTTAAACTAATTAAGTATTTGGGAGTTGAGTTTTTTTTAAGTTTTCTTTTAAAATTCCACAGGCAGGTATATACTTTTAAGTTATGGAGTACTTTAAATATACAAAAAAATATAAATACAAATAATATAATGAATTCCTCTATACCTAACATCAAGTTTAAGAAATACAGTCACATTTAATGAGTATCCCTCCCTAATTTCACAAACCTTTTTATGCCTGATGATGCAGAGGATTTTTCTGGTCTGAATTTTTTTTTTAAATTTTAACAACCAAAACAGAAATGAAAACTTATTTGTACATGTTTTAAATTGCAACTCGTGCCTTAGAAATTCTAGTTGAATGTAGGAATCATCATATACATGATTTAAGAAAAAAAAAAAAGAATAAGAAAACCTTAAGCCCATAGCATCACAGTTCATCTAACTCAATCTATGGCGTATTTGCTTTTGTTCAACAATTGTGTGTAAAACCAACAAAGTCATGAATTTCAACAGCTCTCTTTCACCACTGTCCTGCTCTTATTGTTGATCTTATATTTCTCATAATGTGAAATAGAATGATATTCATATAGGGGCAGTATGTGAATTTCAGGATACAGTGGACACTGTGTTTCTGAATTCCTGTGTTTCAGATCAAAAAAGTCACACTATGCAAATTCCCTTCAAAGAGCACTGACTGCTAGTATAATATAATCCTCTTATATTGATTTATTAATATGTTTACTATGAAATACTTTGTGGGGAAATATATTTAGGCCAAAATTAGGATGGAGTTTATGGAGGGTTATGTTTTATTGCTGGAAATACAATCATTTATTCCTATAAATTATTCCAACAAAAAAAGATTGAAGTATTCACACTATAAAAATGCAATGCCATCCTACTTGTTTGTTAAGTTTAGATCTGTATGCAACCAAATGTTTACATAAAAGAAAAAGTTTTTTTTTAAAAAAGTGCTGTCACAAGCCCATCCTGTGGCTCTACCAGGAGAACTTGCTTACAATCATTATACTGTGTTCTTATCACATCACCTCAGAGTATCTTTACCAAAGACTTTTAAAGTAAATCTCTTTTTAATATAGACTTATAATTTTATAAGAAGGAATGTGCACATACACAGAAATATTTAGACTTAGATGTTTTCCTTTCACAAGATCTAATAAGGAAAGGATCCTACCATATTTTACTCTAGGATTTCCTAAGTATATGATTTATATTTCTCTTTTTTCTTTTTCTGTAAATCCTTTGATTTACATAAAGAAAAGTCACCCTTTTTCTGTGTTATATACCTGAAATATTGCCTATAACAGAGTTATAAAGATCATATTAACTTGATGATACTCATTTTCTTTTGATATATTATCTTGATTGTTATCCTTTTAATACATGAATAGTATAAAAGAATAGAGTCTATAGCACAAAGTTTGTAAGAAAATATACCATATTTTTTAAGTATCAAAAGCACAAATATCTGCTATTTTTGTGTAATATGAGAGACATAAAAAAGAAAAGGCAAAATGCTCTGCCATGGCTCCTCAGACTATTTCATAATAAGATGATTGTCAATTGTTTTTGCAGTGCTCAGAAATGAACCCAGAACTTCACACATGTTAGGCAAAATGTTCTGCCACTGAGCCCCAAAGTATGAATTTTTGAATGTTTGGATCTTCAGCTCCTACTGACTCAATGTGGAGTCTGGTTGACAAACAAAATTGTCTTTAAAACTAAAAAATAAATCATGCATCCCAGTATAAGGAATCCAAGATATGAGATGCCAACATCTTTGCAGCTCAACGATGAGGGTTCCTTTCCCTATTCTCGACACACTGGTGTTTCTGAAGGAGCAAATTCCCTGATCCAAACTTCCTCATGGGGTGTATACTGATTAACAAATAGATATAATGATTTCCTATAAGAGATTCTGCAAATGCTCGTGCTGGTATTCAAAGAAGGTAACCCTAGCCATATACCTTAAAGAAGTATATTACATTTGTGTCCAGAGGAAGAAGAGAGTGCTTTTTTAATGAGGCTGGAGTAGATAGGTAGTAGAAGATAAACAGGACTCTGAAAATGCAACTGCCATCCATGTTCCTAGTTAGCAAAAATTTAAAAAATTAAAAATCCTATTAATGTGAACCAGCCAGGAATAACAGTGTTATTTCTATTTGATATGGTTAGGGCTTCTCTTGTCAAATCTGTGTCTGTTGCCCCCTGATCCTTCCATTATCAAGTTTTGAAAGGTGTTGGGAAAATGATGGCAGCTGCTAGGGAGATCAGGGAAACACTGATATAACCTCACAGCCTCTCACCATCCCTCTTGGCTTGGAAAGGCTTTTTTTTTCATATACAGTTCTAGAAATATTGCCATTCTACCTTAGTTTTTCACATTTGTAGTTTAAACAAGTGATTGTCCATCTGTTGCCTAGAGCTGCGGTACATGTGTGTTATGAATGAAATATGACAGCATGTTCCATACCCCTGCTTTAGCCATCTGTAGAAAGCCAGCAAACTGAAAAAGATATACCTCTGCAAAATGTGCCTCTAGTCCATTTCCGAGGATGCCTCTTTTGGTGCACTGACAATCAGAAAACAACCCACGATTGTGCCTTATTTTTAAATAATCTATTTATACTACTATGACTATTCTGCTGAGGTCAGTAATGGAAACAGTCATCCCAAAATCCCAAATATATACTCAGCAGAATTTCAAAACACATCCAGAAGACTCTGAATCCCCCTTAACATCCTCAAATAGTATTTTTTCTTCTTCTTCTGGAAGGTTCTCCTGGGTCCTTCCAGTTGTAAAAACATTCTATGCCAGAAACTAATATAGTAGATGTTGTCCGTGTTTGTGATTAGGTTTTACTCTGGTTTTATTCAGATAATAAAGGCAGAGATGTGAGCCTTCTCCACCCACATGCCATCTTCTTTTGTACTTCAGTCGCCTTTGTTTTTCTTGATAGTGAATAGGTAAATTTGGGTCCTGGTTCTGAGCAAGTCATTAATATAGTGCAATTATGAACATTTCAGGACAAGTTCTTCACTTGACACAGATTTGTTTTAAACTTTAAAAAGAAAGAGTCAGACTATGATTTACTATGATTTGCAAAGAATAATTAATCCCTGTATCCTTTCCATTTTTCCTCTTTCTTCCTATCTTACCTTCTTTCCTACTTTCTTCCTTTTTTCTATTATGCCTGTTATGCTACCCAAGTTGAACTTGTAATAAGTCATTCGTCCATCATCCTTATGGAACTGTAATAAGTTCTATAAGGAGAAAACCTACTAGAAAATATATATGGCATCCAAAATACCTTCATCTTAAGGTTCATATCTTTAAACTTGTGTTTAGTCATGGAGTGAGATGGGGGTATATCTTCATCAGGGAAGCAGACAGTTCTTGGAAAATTCATTTATGGCTGGTCTAGGCTTTCTGTCCATCTGCAAAAATAATGTGAGACAAAGTTGAAACTTTGTTTTCAAACCCAAAGCATTTTGACCACAAAATAATTACGTTTTAGTGGCAGCATATCATTTTTTCATTGAAACTTAATCATTTTCTCTGTTGCAAGGGAAAATGATTATCTTTCTAAAATTTTAATGTATAGCATTTAACCCATGATAATATTAAATCTTAATAATTGAATCATAAGAGTTATAGTAAGCCATCAATTGAGTTTTTATTGGATCATGAATTAAAGGCATATATTCATTAAGATACGAATGCATTCCTCTGTTTTACTTTCCTGTTTCTTTTGTTGAGGTATAGACTCTTATTTCAGCCAGCCAGTAAGCATGTGGCTTATTTTGTGGGGGAGCTATGTGGAAGAGGCATTTTAATTCAACTGAAGTTATTTTTAAAGAAAACATTAAAATCTTTACTCTTCATTTCTGCTTGTCACTTAATTTACAGAAGTCTTTAAGTATACTAATAAAGATTCCTACTTCTAGCTTTTATTTAAAAACAAAATTAGAATGAGTATATGTATAGTATTCTAATATCAGTTATATGCCATCTTTAAATTGCCACCCTTTCTTACAACTTTTATCTCTCTACATTGTCCTCCCTTCCTCATCTCATTTTAATAATAATTTCCTAAACACTATACGGAGAATCATCCCACACATTGCTTTCATTCAGGTCAACTGCAATAGAATCTATCAAGCTCAACCTGTACTTACTCTGTATACAGTAATATGGCCTGGGTTATAGTGCTTTTGTTTCCAGTGGCATTGTCTAGATTTGTAGAAGACTTGAAATCAAATAAGATATCTTGAGTTGATTCACTCACCTTAACTAGAAGTTGAAGCTAAAATATGTAGTGTGCAATAGGAGAGCAGAGGTGATATCCAATAAGACACCATCTCATGCCCAAAACATCACAGATTTTGGAATTTCCTCCTGGGGACAGGAGGAAAGTCTCTCCTATGTTCAGGATCACTAGAAGAGAAAAGTTCACAGGCAAAACAAATTACATCGCTACATGCTCTTTTTATTCTTTTATAATTGCAAGAGTGAATGAGTTGGGCAAACCAAATCCAACATGTATAATAGGAATAGAAAGGACCTTTCCATGAACTTTATTGCACCATACAGAGTACATTCCTTTTGGTCCACAGTTACGCTCCGCTCTTGCAGGAAATGAACCCATCATTTGAATCCTCACAGGAGAACAAGTAATGCACTTCCATGTTCTTACTTCTTCTAACTACACCATTAGGAATTACTCTGAAGTCATCTGTTCTACTTGGTAATACAGTTCCACCACATATTCATCTCAAAATGGTGATCCAGTATTGAAGGACTCCTTAACCCATGATGCCTTCTATTTCCTCCAACAACATTGTTCCAGTCTCTTCCTGACTTTTTAAAAGCTAACCCAGCCTTCCAGGCTTTTGTTCCCATTGGTACCACAAAAGACTAACCAATAATAAATGTTGCCTCCTACCTCCATTTTCTTTCCATTAAGTTTGTTTTTGAGCAATGAGTCCATTAAAAGCTGAAGATTATTTTTAAAAAACCTTTAAACATCCTTAAAAAGAGTCTAAAGGATTTTCCAAGTTATGAAGGGACTTCTAGTTTTGGAGGTATTTTTTTGGTTGTTTATGAGTTTACTCTCTTTGCTGAAAACCAACAATTCGGACAGTTGTTACATTCCTCAATGCCTTCCCTCAGTAACAAATCCACGAACAATACTTTACACTTACCTGACCTGTTGATAATGACCTTTAAAATACTGGGAAATGTCATTGTGTAAGTCCAGTTCTAACAAGGGAAAAGTCCCAATGAACTAGAGTAGAGCTACTGAAAATCCATTACTTCTCATCAGTTCTTTGGGACAGACAAGAAGGATATCACTCTTAGGGGAAGGATTTATACTGTTCTACGATTTTGTTCAGAAATGCATGAATTCTTTCACTACTGCTCAAAATTGCTGTTTACTCAGTATTCCTTAGTTTGGAGAAGGGTAAGGATTGTCCTCTTCTACCCCAGCTTTGATTTAGAGGAACCCATAGGCAAAACATGTCACCATCTCTGGGCAATACCTGAGGGTAACTTTCTGAGCTGTAAAATAATAATTCCTGAGAGAGCTTACAAACTACTTCCCACATAAAACAGCCCTGGGAGGAAGGTTATTAATAGCCTCATCCTGGAAGAGAAAGCTGAAGTTCAGAATTGTTGAGTGACTTGCCAAAAGCAATATACCTAGACAGTGGCAGATTTGGGGATGTGCTCAAGACTTGCAAAACCAGTGCTGTCATAGAGTGCAGTGTATACTTTTCTCAAACTACTGAAGCCCCTGTTAGAAATCATCCAGGGATATTCACAGAAGCCATGTGGCTCTCAGTGGCCGTTCCACATTTGAAGTGTGGTCTGGAGATTATTGAGAGCTTGCATAAACTTTCTATGTCATCCTTGTAGGAAACCACTTAATAGTCTATGCAATCAGCAGTTTGATGAAGTTGGTGGGGAAAGGTCTGTATAGCACAAACATCTGGTTATACAAGCACAGGGCAGCAAATTTCCCTAGAGACACTTGGTTCACATTAAATTAACTGCAACCCTCTCTGAAACAGTCAGGTTCAGAATAACAACTGAAACTGTATCATTTAGTGGCATGCAGAGATGGCTTGATCCTTATGAAAAGTCTGTTTCCCATGGTCCATGATATACGCCCTGCAGAGGCAGAGACTGCTCTATGGAAGCTGTGCATATTGGTCTGTCTTTCAGTTCACATTTATTAAGAGACCACCTTCAGTGTATGTTGCTGCAGAAGACATTTCTGATTTCACAAACCTATGACCTTGAAATGTCTGAACAAATGCTATGGGATTGATATTTCTGAGATTTGGCCTTTGCCATTTGATAGATTGGCTCCCAGAGCTGTTACATTTCCATGATTAATATGTCCACATCATAAGTGGTTTGGTACTAACGCTGCTTAAAAAAATACTATCTGCAGGACATCATATATTTTAGAAGTTAGTGTTCAACAAGTGGATATTTCCCACTTGAGATGCATCCCTCAAGAAGCACTTTTATTTTTTAGTTTTTGGAGGGAGGAGTGCTCTTGGCTTTGAATTTTCTCTCTGTTTGGCTTTTCAATTTCCTCTAGCTGTTTGCTCTAAGTTAAAACCTGTGCACTTATTGAAAAGAATTCTTTCTCCACATTAAATATGTATTAAAACTTGGGAACCTTTAAAATGATCTTTTCTAGTAAGTTTTCTAAGGCATTTTTCCTCCCTAGTGTCTGTTGTCTGTCATCATTTATCTGATTATTCCCTAGGATTAATGGGAGCCAAGTTAAATGACACATGGCCTCACCACACACTCAACTGTTCCTACGGAGGAATACAGAGATTTTAGCAGAGTTGAGAGAGTGATAGCCTTGGTTGAGACAACACATTCAAAGGCTGGAAAGGTGTGCCCCATCTTCCTGGGAGGTATGAAGTACAAAATAGGAATAACACTAATAATCAGAGTGGGGAGTGATATTGTGGCATTAATAGAGTTTCCCACTTTAGGAACAGATTACTAGAATAAGCATTCTGAGTGTTTCTCAGAATTACCTAGGTTAGTACTCCTGAGCGAAGTCTTGCCTGGGTACAGCTGTGATGCC